AATTACGCATGTGCTCATTGCTGCCCAGACTGCTTTCACGATGAATAATGTTGCAATGGGTTTTGGGTTGAGCAAGTGCTTGCAGGTGCAACACTTCTTTAGACTTACACAAAGACTAGTTTAAACACAACTTCAGACTTGACTCAGCTTTTTGCCAAAAGTTGATGCTTGCTGTTGCTCCATGTTTTGCAGCTCCTTGCTGTAAAAATGAACCATATTTTGACTTAGACACTGAAGTAAGTAATGAAATGCATTGTCTTTGTGGATGTGCCATCTTGACTAAGTGTGCGTGAGCACTAGTAATTCCAAAGCCAACCTATCTGCTGCTCCCGGCTGGATCTAAAGTATTATTATTGGAAAGATGAGCTTTATATGGAGCACTACAGGCTCTGTTGAAGAAAATTGGATTCTCTGTTTTGGAAATTTATATAACATGTTTAAGTACTTAAAAAGGGGAGTTTTTTGGACGATTAGTAGTCACTAGGCCTAGTTGCATTTGATTTAGGGAAGGACAAGGCACTGTTTGCAGGAAATTTATGAGAGAAAACTTTGAAATTGGTGAATGTCTTCACAATAATTTATCCGCTTTCCATTCAAATTTCACCATTTGATAAACAGAAAATGATGTAAAAATGAGACCATTACCATCGAAACTTGACATTTTAACATTGTATCAATAAAATTGTGATTGTTTCCATTTATATAGACAAAGCATCATTGAATGTGTAAAAAAAGTTGACTAAACTTCATCATTTTGAGAAACTTCTAGCTGTAATTGTTGATAATTGAAAGGAAAGCCAACAATTTCTTACGAAACTGTTGCCATATAGGGAAACTGTTGCCATATTAGGAAACTGTTGCCATGTAAACAAAACCAACTTAATCATTACGCTTAAAAGAATTAGATGCAAACACTACATGTAAATATATCTTAAAAGTTTGTCAGTGTTTGTAGGACATACATGTATGAACTACAAACGAAACTACCGGTATAGGACAGAAATCCAATTGAAAAAAGTGTTTGAAGGCTATGTTGTTTGATTTAAAAAATTTCAAGGACCATTCTGAAATTTTGAGAACTGTGTTGAATTGACCACCATAGCTTAGGGACACAATATTAGATAGTTCTAGATATATTTTTATGGACCCCAGCTGTCAAACGTTTTGATTGCAGTCCCTCATACACAGTTATTTTGAAAATAATCCCTTCAAACCATTAAGAATAACAATTACCACTTCAAATAAAATGTACGCACTGTAATGATAATAATTTGTTTGATTTTTATTGTGCCCTCTCTGGGGCCAGTTTTTTTCCAGAGGGCATTACAACCTTAACAGTTAAAAACACAGTAACACTTACACTAAACCAAAATGTTTTACTGTAGCTTGTAAGCCTGAAGAAACCGGTAGAGACGAGACAATGACAAGAAGTTAAGGTTTTAGTGGAGGGAGGAAAAACCTCAGAAAAGAGAATGTTCTGGGTAAAACCTATGGAATCAGGCAGGGCCTGAAAATCCAATCCACACGTGGACAGAGCTGGGAATCAAAGTCAGGCCACAGAGTTTAAAGGCAAGGAAACTAAGCACTACCGATACGCCCACCCAACTCCTGATGAATGTTATTGATATTTAATTTTTTAAAACAAGGTCGACCTGGTGTGTCAAAGGTCTTAGTGACCTTCTTTTTAAACACTTAATTTTTATAATATTGGTGACTAGAACATGTACATGTAATTCTCATTATTTGTTTAAAACTTCCACAATTATGACCCACTTTTACTCTTACGGTGATTTAAGTTAAAATGGCCCATTTTTCTTGATCTCTGTTCAGACTCCA